ATTTTAAGCATGTCCCCAGTGTCTACAACTATGGCATTGCCTGCACTCAAGAGGCTTTTAACTTGTTAAGAGATTAAGGTAAGACAGATATTAAAAACTAAGGTGGAATGCAGTAAGTGCAATACTAGAAATGCTGTGAAGAGGGTGCCTAAAAGGAACAATTTATCTTCTCTGTGTGCCTTCCAGCATAAGCGGATCTGCCCACTTTGAATGAGTCTCTAGTCACTTTTGGGGGCTTTCCTGGTATTTCTGATCACTTCCCTTGGACAGGGCATTTTCTCATAGTTGATATTTTTTTGAAGTGGAAAAGCCATGGCTATTCCAATCTAGGTCGAAACTCAAAAATGAAAAAAATATTAAAACAATCAGTAATAAAATCCAAACTCTTGGCTATAAGGTAACTTTATAATTCAAATCTATGATGGTTTAATTTAGCATAGGTCTCTATCTTCATCCTCCCTCCCGCCCCCAATAATTTTATAAATGTTTAGTGTCTCCTAGCTGTTTCCTCTTTTGATGTTGGTTTCTGTTGAACTTTAGTACCTATAACTATTAGGCAATGTGGTCTGCGGTGGGTAGAGGAAATCACAAGTGTGACCAACTTCTGCTGGAGGCTGACTATTGTTATTACTGGGAGATTTCTATTAAATAACTGGACTAAGGTTACATTCTTAGCTGATCTTTTCCTAGGGCATCCTAGTCTATAGCACTTCTGGCTAGTAGTACCAGAAGGAAGGCTGTTTTAAAATATTATTTTAGGTCAAGTAATTTTGTACAAGTGAACATATATTTTAAATTATAGATTTAAAGAAGTTTTGCATTCTAAACTAAATGGAAGAATGTATAACAAATGTTTTTCATAGAACATTTTTCAGTGAGTTACTATTGTAACAGAATTGCATTACAAAACTTAAATTTCTTTATATGAATAGTGTCACTAGACCCAAATTAAAGCTCTCAAAGAAACTCTCAAAGCATTTAACCTTTTGCGGTCCAATTTTATTTTTGGAATTCAAACAGTCTGGTCCAAATTAATTGACGGGATTGAATGTTGAACTTTTTATTGTTCGTATTTTAAAGTTTAAACCAAAAATTCACTGGTTATATTAAGTATGTTCAATCAAAGAGTTTATTTTTTTTTTTAAATATATTTTATTGATTTTTTACAGAGAGGAAGGGAGAGAGAGATAGAGTTAGAAACATCGAGAGAGAAACATCGACCAGCTGCCTCCGGCACATCTCCTACTGGGGATGTGCCTGCAACCCAGGTACATGCCCTTGACCGGAATCGAACCTGGGACCTTTCAGTCCGCAGGCCGACGCTCTATCCACTGAGCCAAACCGGTTTTGGCAAGAGTTTATTCTTTAAAACATTTCATAGTGTGGTATCTTTTGAAACTGGTCTGTCGAGTCAGCCTCGACGTTGGACCGAAAAGGGTTAAGAACTTTCTATTTCCTCAAAATAAATTTTTGTTATATTCCATTCAATGAGCACTCCACTCACTGCTTTTACTCTTCTATTTAATCAGAACAAAGTTTAAAAACAGTGGTTTCCTTTCTAGTGATAAACAATTATCACAAATATCTTATTTGAAAAAAATATGTATTGTAGTAAACATTGCCTCTGCAGTAAGAATTCTGCCCAGAATAGCCATGATAACTAAAGTTATCCTTTTTATGAAATTGCTAAATCAAATATCAAGAATAATCATTCATGCCCTAGCCCAGCGGTCACCAACCGGTGGTCCGCAGACCACTGGTGGTCTGTGAGGTCCAAAAGGTTGGCAACCGTTGTCCTAGCTGGATTGCTCAGTGGATAGAGCGTTGACCTGCAGATTGAAGGGTCCCAGGTTTGATTCTCGTCAAGGGCATATGTCCGGGTTGTGAGCTCCATTCTCAGTAGGGGGCATGCAAGAGGCAGCCAATCAATGATTCTCTCTCATCATTGATGTTTCTCTCTCTCTGAAATCAATAAAAAATATATTTAAAAAATAAAAGAACAGCTCTAGCTGGTTTGGCTCAGGGGATAGAGCGTTGGCCTGTGGACTGAAGGGTTCCGGTTCGGTCAAGGGCACATGTCAGGTTGTGGGCTCGATCCCCAGTAGGGGGCGTGCAGGAGGCAGCCAATCAATGCTTCTCTCATCATTGATGTTTCTCTCTCTCTCTCCCTTACTCTCTGAAATCAATAAAAATATATTTAAAAAAAAAGAATCAGTCACTGCTATATGATCAACATTAGAAGTACTTTTTACTTGCTACTGATCTTTTTTTTTTTAATCCTCACCTGAGGACTTGTTTTCCATTGCTTTCAGAGAGAGTAGGAGGGAGGGAGAGAGAAATATTGATGTGAGAGAGACACATCGACTGATTGCCTTCCACACCTGTCCTGACTCAGGGCAGGAAGCAAACCCAAAATCCAGATACATGTCCTTGACTGGGAATCGAACCCGAGACCCTTGGGTTTGAGGGCCAATGCTCTAACCACTTAGCATACTGGGCAAGGCTTGCTACTGCTCTTGACTGCTTTATGGAAAAACTAAAGTTAGATGAAACAAAACCATGAAAATTGTGCTATATCCAAGTGGCCATATACAATTATAGCAAGATATTTATATGCCTGCCTCAATCCATAATCAGGCTTAACACCTAGATCTGTAGTCAAAGTGACTTCAGGGTTCTTAGAGCTATCTTAGCATCTGGTTTGGCCTGAAGCTGACTTGGGAAGCATCTCTAAGCTGATGACAGATCTGAGTTTGCATTTCCAGGGACAATTAGGGCCCTCTGGCCCACTTGGCTATATTCTTCCTCCAATCTCTCCAGAAAGGTCCAGGTGTCACCCAAAGGGCCCAGCTGGCCAGCCCACTCTGACCTTGTGACTATGTATCATGGAAGTACTGGAAAGGAAGAGTGACAGCATCATTCTGATTTTCTGTCAATTCTGATTTAAAAACAGGGAAACACTAGTCACCAGTGATTATGGATTTGCCTTCAATGTTAAAAAATTGTATCCATGAGTTCCATAAAATAATATTGTATAATATAAAATAGCTACCTTTACTTTACTCTGCCTTAACCAGTTTACCAAGAAATTTTCCACATTGTAGATGACAGGAAACTATGATAATTTCCAATTTTTCTATTTTATAGGAATTAATCAACATTCATTAATGTTCAAAGACAATTACTGATGAGGATTTCCTGTAGAAGTACAGAAATCTTAGAAGTCAACTTTCACCCTCCATACTACATTCCAATATTGGAAATTAGTTGAATGATTTCGATAATTTTGTGCAGTTTAAAATTTTTAGCCCTAAGAATTTAAGGGTTCTGAAATTGCCTCCTAACCTAGCATAACCAAATAGAAGACTGCTAACTTTCAGAACAAGTTGAAAAATAAGTGTTTTAATTTGGTACATTTAATGGACAAAATCCTTATGAGTTGAGTAGGCAAATCTGCAAGCTAAGATTTTTTTTTCAGCTTTAGTTTTAGGTCCACTATCTCTCTCTCTTTTTAAAAAAACGATTTTTTAAATTGATATTTAGAGAAGAAGGGAGAGGGAGAGAGAGCGCGAAACATCGATGTGAGAGCAAAATACCAAGCGGCTGCGCAACCTGGGTGTGTGCTCTGACTGGGAATTGAATCATCAACCTTTCAGTACACGGGACATCACCCAACCAACTGAGCCACACCAGCCAGGCCACTATATCTCTCTTTAATGGGCTTTGCACAAAGTTATATTAATAGGCTCACTGCATTAGAGCACCTGAGAGAAAGAGTATAAATTAAGAGTTTATAACTATTTTTTCAGATGTACAAAAAAAGCACAATGATAATATCTGTCTTCTTCATAGATTAATGACAAAACCATAATAAATAAGGTTTTTTAACAGGTGTTAAGTAGAAATACTTCTTCTTATCTCCTATCTATACTCTTACATTGATTATAAGTCTTCGATGAACAGAAAGCTATAACTGTCTCTCTTCAAGTCTGTCTGTATCACATAAGCATTGATCAGTTTTGGGCAACTCATTCATAGCTGCCTGTCTTTGCCGAATGGTCTTCACAAATCTGAGCAGATTGACGATGGCAGCAGGTGTCACTCCAGGTATCCGACTTGCAGCCCCAATCTATGAATTGAAACCACAAGAAAAACATAAAAGTGAGCTATGTCAAATAAAATTTTCTTCCAGTGACAGTAACAATTTATAAAATATTTTCAAAACTATTATCTTAATGTTTTCAAAATAACTCTATAAAATAGGTAAAGGAAATGAGTTTATTATCTTCTTCTTTTTTTTTTAAATATATTTTATTGATTTTTTACAGAGAGGAAGGGAGAGAGATAGATAGTTAGAAACATCGATGGGAGAGAAACATCGATCAGCTGCCTCCTGCACATCCCCCACTGGGGGTGTGCCCGCAACCCAGGTACATGCCCTTGACCGGAATCGAACCTGGGACCCTTCAGTCCGCAGGCCGACGCTCTATCCACTGAGCCAAACCGGTTTCGGCTATCTTCTTTTTTTAATGGGAAAATGACGCTTAGTGAAATTAAAATGACTTGTCCAAGATCACATAACTAACAGATGTGGGAATACCTACTTTTTCTTTTCATTAAACTAATGTAACATCCCTAGCAGTGTGTTGGGCAGCACCCTATAATTAATCTCAGTATTTCTGTGTTGTATTTTTACAATGAAATATATGGATATTAACTCTAAGTGATGTAAAGACTAGCCTCAGGCCAGTTCAGGTCAGATTTCTGTGACAATGGATATTTTCTATAACATTTGCACTGTAACAATGTTCTGTCCAACATGGTAGCCACTAGCCATATGTAACCACTGAGCACCTGAAATGTGGCTAATATGAGTAAAGAGTTGAATTTTAATTTTTAAAAATTTTAATTAATGTAAATGGTCTATTTGGCTAGTAGCCATAATTCTGGGCAGTGCAGCCTATGACTATCCATAAAAATATAACCCCAAAACGAATAGTATATATAGAGGTATAAAATTTAAGGCTTGTTTCCCTTGTTTCCATGACTACTGCTAGGAATACCATGCCATATTGATGAAATCACTCCTTCCTTTAAAAATCATTAAAAAAATACTTACAGACCATATTTTTGTTAAATGTTCCTTTTTTGTGATGAACCACTATTAAAAACAACAACAAAAAACCCACTGTCATTAAACTATGGTACACTATCAATTTTTAAGTTACAACTTAGCTTTTCAGATATGTTAAAATGTATGTCTTAGAATCAATAAATACAGCCTATCAGTCTTCAGCTATTTATTAGAAGTTCAATACTATAAACTACAAAGGTTTTTATAGACATTTACAGATGTGTGTACATGCATGTGGTTGGCACATGCATGTGCAAATACACACACACACACACGTGGGCTAAAGCATGGGGCAGGAAACCTCTTTAGCTCCCCTTTCTCCTAGTTGCTCCCAAGGCCATACTATGGAGCCCCTAGAGAGGGATCTGAGAAGTGATTTGAAAATCACCAAATTATAATCAACCGAATTCTTGACTGGTGGTTATTTAGACTAAGCTTTTTCTTCATAAAAATATATTGACATCTGTCACAGAAAGAGATATTGAAAATAAGAAGTTATGTTTTTTATGATGAAATAAACCATTAGTTATGTGATCATGGTAATTCCAGGTTTAAAAAAGAAAGCACTGGCTCTTAATTTATAACCTATTCCTATCCATTGCCCGTGTTCTTACCGTCTGTGGGCGACTGAAATGTAGCTTCTCTCGAACTTCATGGGACAAAGACACATCCCTGAGAGTCAAATAATCTAGGTCTTTTGGCAGTTGGAGAGCTTCATCTCGCTGAATGTCCTTTATTTCTTGTTGCTGATAGAACAATACTGTTTCATAAGTGGCTGGTGAACAAAATAAATTATGTCATGATAGATTCATTAACAAGTTACATTTTTATAACTTTTTATAATTTATAAAGAGCTTTTGCTGCATTATCTCATTCAACACTTAATCTCAACACCATGAGATAGGTGGGGTACGTGTTCCCTTTCGCAAATGAGAAATTAAAGCTAAAATAGAGGGAATATCTTACATATTACTACAACATTCTGTCTGGTAGTATACTGCATGCCCTTTTCATTTCAAAAATTTGGAAAATTAAGAGAAATTGTGTTTCTTCTCAGTGCAAATTTTGGTGGAACATTCCTCAAAAGGCTGTGGGTTTGAATTTTAAGTCCTAAAGAACAGATGTTTCTTCAAGAAAATGGTTCTAAATTATGAACATATAAAGCTGTATTTTTTTAATTTAAAGCTTCTCAGATAATAACATAATTTAACTGAGGTTTTACTCAGACGTAAAGTTAAAAAGATAATTCAGCCATTATAATTAAAGCATTCTGTTCTTAGAAACATAAATTCAAAATGTATTTTAAAACCTAACCTGAGGTAGTCACTCTGTCCTGTTCAAGAAAGTATGTCTTCCCTGAAGGTTTTGGTAGCACCTGCTTCCATCACTTGTCTGGCAGCTCTGAGGCTGGCTCTGCCAATGAATTACCCTCTAAATATGGGCATGTCATAATCATTCTGGCCCTCAGTTTCTTTATCTAGAAAATGTAAGTGCTAACTCAGATGACTTCTGATGGTCTTTAATGGTAAAAAGGGTGGTTGTGAAGTACACAGGCCTTAGTCAGACAAGCTAGATTCAATCCCAGCTCTGTCACTAACCAGTTGTGTGTTCTTGGGCAAGTTACCATTTATCTGTAAAATTAAGGTAATAATGCTAATACCTATTCTTCACAGGACATCTATAAGTATCAAATGAAATAATGCACATAAAGGGCTTAATACAACATGACAAAATAACAATTTAGTACAACAAATTGTAATACAACTTTATGACTCATGAATAGACTTGGCAAGGGATCATGGAGTATAAATGAGAAAACATATATTAAAGTATATTTATTTAATCTTTCAAATATGTATATAGCAAAAACATCAGAGATAATACAAAGAATCTGAAGTTGATTTCTGCCTTTAAGAACTTAAAGATACTCTAGTGGAGGATCTGTGAAGTAATTGGAAAACCACTGATAAGTGTTATATTTTAACTTAGTGTGGTTTCTTCTAAGGCATGGATACGAATTAGAGTCTTTATTTACAAACAAGTTAAAAATCATTATTCTGGATTACTCTAACCTAAACCTGGTGATTTATTGGACAAATTAAGTTGCAAATCAAGTTTAAAATGTAGAATTTAATTACTTTTTTCCAGTGCTAAGAGCCTAAACATTCAATAAAGTAACTTTTACTTAATACAAAAATCATGACATTGAAATAAAAGGTCAACATTACTTCTTATACATTAGTACACTACTAGTGTCTGGTTATTTGAAAGAATGATTCTAGAGTTGAAATGGGTTTCCTTTCGTTGCTAGGCTTTTGTTAACTTGCATGGTGGGATGGCAGGCAGCACTTGGGTCATCCTATGAAAGCAGCCAAAGCATAGCAAGGTGATAGGCTTCTGGAACTGATAGAAGATGCCACGGCTAGAAAGAATGTAGCATTCTTACCAACCAACATCGCTGGGCCCAAGGAGCTTTAAAGTCCTTTCCTGTTTGAACAGCGCATCATCATCCAACTTTTACTACTGTTCTCCCCATCTCATTCTGTTCCTTGCCTTTTTACCACCCCAGGAAAACACTTCCTCTATCAAAATACAGAAGCTAATCTTATTCTCAGTATTTTTATGTTTGAAATTTTTTACAATGAAAACCTTTTAAAAGTCATCTATAGCTTTGGGAATCAATACACTGACCCAGGGTAGGACTCAAGAGTATGGATTTCTTTGTCTGATACAAAGTAAGTACCTGTTAATGGTAAAATGTTCCAGTATACTGTCAAAGCCAAACATAGTAATATTTTTCTCATTATTAGAATATTATATGAGGAAACTGTAAAAAGGAAGTTCAAAAAAAAAGGTTGTTGCTTTTTTCTTTAAGGGAGAGATTTACAGTAGTAGTTCCTAAACTTGAAATGTGCACAGTAATCACATGGGGATCTTGTTAAAATGCAGATGTTTACTCAGTGGGCCTGCAGTGGAGCCTGATATTCTGCATTCCTAACCAGCTCCCACGTGTTGCAATGCTCCTAGCCTGGGAACTCCACTTTGAGTAGCACGGAGCCTAAGACTATGCTGGTCCTATGGTAATAATGGCTCCTCTTAAATGGCTGTCCATTCATAATTTGTACAAATGGAAAAGAGATAATATATATAGGCATCTTAAGTAAAAGAAGTATATCCTACCTTCTATTTTCAGTCTTTCAGCTAGCTCTCTACATTGAGTATACTTCTTCAAGGGCTCTGGAACAGCCTTTGCCAATAACTCCAGGTCAACTTCTTCATACTTCAGAACATCTAGAGCTCTGCAAATACACAAAAATTTCATTAACATAGGGGTCCATACAACATAAGACAGATTAAGAACAGGATTCCTTGGAAATAATAACCTCAGAATAAATAATATCAAAAGACACCTAATTTTTTCCAAGGACAGTGAACAAATGCAGCAGCATCTGCAACACAGAACCTCAATAAGATGTGTGTGATTCTCCCCAACTCCCTTCCCTTATCATGAGAAATGAGTTGTTGGTAAAGTTTGCATTGCTATAATCCATTTGTCCTTTCTTGTAAGGACAGAATATCCTCTGATAACAAGGGTTTGATTGAATTCCCTACGAATTTACACCTAAGCCATAGCCATGTAAGCCCATGTTCTGTAAGAGAGTCATCCTTTGCATGCTCGGACCCAGCTGAAGGAAGTCTCCTGCTTGCTCCAAGACTGCAAAATATTCTGCACTTTCCCTCTCATTTTGTGTGGTTTTCACAAGGCCCCACTGATCTGTAAAGTTTCACTATATTTACTATCGTAATTCATTTTATTTTTATTTACTAACTTTGATCTTTCCCTCTTTTTGTAGATTGCCTTTTTAATAAATGCTGCCCACCCAAAACCAATTAAAACAAGTCATTATCAAATTAACAGGAAGTCAGATCTGCCCATCCAGGGGTCCCAAGTACTTCACAAAAAAACTACCAGATTTAATAAGCCAATTTGGCAAAGTAGCAGGATACAAAATTAACACCCGGAAATCGATAGCATTTTTATACACCAATAATGAACCCTCAGAAAAAGAAACTAAAAACATACTACCTAGAGCAGCGGTTCCCAACCTGTGGGTGGAGACCCCTTTGGGGGTTGAATGACCCTTTCACAGGGGTCGCCTAAGACCATCGGAAAACACATATATAATTACATATTGTTTTTGTGATTAATCACATAGGACGTTGAAAAAATTGATAAGGGAAGATATAAACAAGTGGATGAATATACAGTGTTCATGGTTTGGTAAAATTAGCATCAGTAAAATGTCCATACTACCCAAAGCAATCTATAGATTCAATGCAATCCCTATTAAAATATCAATAGCATATTTCACACATCTAGAACAAATATTCCAAAAACTTATATGGAACCAAAAAAGACCCTGAATAGCCACAGCAATCTTGAGAAAGAACAGAGTTGGAGGGATCACAATACCAGATATCAAACTATACTACAAAGCCACTATAATCAAAAGAGCCTGGTGCTGGCACAAGAACAGGAATATAGACAAATGGAACAGAATACAGATCCTAGAAATTGACCTACGACAATATGGCCAATTAATATTTGACAAAGAAGGTAAAAGCATACAATGGATTAAATACAGTCTCTTTAATAAATGGTGCTGGTTAAATTGGACAGGTACATAAAAAAAAACACACAAAAACCTGCAAAAAAACTAGACAACCAACTTACACCATACATAAGAATAAACTCAGAATGGATAAAAGACATAAATGTAAGACATGAAACCATAAAAATCCTAGAAGAAAACAGGCAGTAAAATCTCATTTTCACTGATACACTGCCTAGGGCAAGGGAAACAAAGGAAAAAATTAACAACTGGGACTACATCCAACTAAAAGGCTTCTGTACAGCAAAAGAAGCCATCAACAAAATGAAAAGGGAGCCTACTGTATGGGAAAACATACTTGCCAATGATACATCTGATAAGGGTTTAACTTCCAAAATATACAAAGAACCCATACATCTCAACACCAGGAAGACAAACAATCCAATTAAAAAATGGACAAAGGATCTGAATAGACACTTCTCCAAAGAGCACATACAGATGGCCAATAGACCCATGAAAAAATGCTCAAAGTCACTAATCATCAGGGAGAGGCAAATTAAAGTGACAATGAGCTAACACCTCATCCCTGCCAGAATGGCTACTATCAATAAATCAACAAACAACAAGTACTGGTGAGGATGTGGAGAAATGGGAACCTTAGTACGCTGCTGGTGGAAATGCAGACTGGTATAGCCACTGGTGAAATCAGTATAGAGGTTCCTCAAAAAACTAAAAATGGATCTGCCATTTAATCCAGTGATCCCACTTCTGGGAATATATCCTAAGAATCCCAAAACACCATTCAGAAAGAATATATACATCCCAATGTTCATGGAAGCATTATTTACAATAGCTAAGATCTGGAAAACAGCCCAAGAGCCCCCTCAGTAGGTGAATGGATAAAAAAAGCTGTGGTACATTTACACAATGGAATACTACACAGCTGTAGAAGGATCTCTTACCCTTTGAGACAACATGGAGGGACCCAGACACTATTATGCTAAGTGAAATATGTCAGTCAGAGAAAGACAAATATCACATAATCTCACTTGTAAGTGGAATCTAATGAACAAAATAAACTGACAAACAAAATAGATCCAGTGACATGGAAGCAGGCAACAGACTGATAATTCTCAGAGAGAAATGGGAGGGGGGAGGAAGAGATGAATCAAAGAACATATATGCATATATACATAACCCATGGTGAAGGCCTTGGGAGGGGGCAAGAGGATGGAGGGGACAAGAAGGGGATATCTGTAATACTTTCAACAATAAAGATAAATTTTTAAAAAATAAGTAGGGAGTCTTTAAAATCTCTGAAATGATCTCATTTTTCTGTAAATCCTGTAATTTGTAAGTTCTGTAATTGATATTAAAAATGCATACCTGAGAGATACAACTTTACCCATACTTATAGAAGCCTCTGGGATTAACTTTTTCCATTTAGAACTTGAAAACTCAATGGATTTCAACACAGAAATGCCTTCTTCTAAAGAAGACTTCATCCAAGAAGCTCTTTCATATCTTTGTTGGGACACACAGCCAGCTTCCTTATACCCTAGAAGAAGGGAGGAGAGAACATAATGAGAGAGGTCTGAGAGAAGAGTAAACCTGGTTGGCAGACTCAGTGAAGAGTTACCTCGGAATGTGAGGCGGCTGTCAGCATTATCAGGGCGCAGTGACAAACGGAACTCTGCTCGGCTGGTAAACATTCGGTATGGTTCGTTAGTGCCCTGTGTGGTGAGGTCATCAATCAGGACTCCTATGTAGCCTTCTGTTCGGCTAACGACAAAAGGAGGCTTGCGTCTGACCCGAAGACTTGCATTGATTCCAGCTATCACACCCTACAAGAGGACTGAAATGTTTAAAAGGCCATTATGAACTGAATAAAGAGCTGTCCTGTTCAGAACACTACCTAGAAAAAAATAGCCTGGGGCAGTAAGAAAGCAGGCACTGCCCAGAATGAATAGACTCGAGGTAGAAAATCTGAACCTTATTCAGAAACAGAATATGGGTAATGTACCACTTTACAACGCTATGATTCATTTAATACATGCCTAAAAACTTTTCTAGCCGTTTCCCACTTATAAGTAAAAAGAATATAAATTCCCACTTAATAAGAATAATATATGATCATTTTCAGTAAAGTTATTTTAAGAGTAATAAAGCCGCAAGTGTTTTTTTAAAATTCTATTGTATATAGTAACCATCTCCACATAACCTGAAACAGAAATGTCTTCTATTAGTTATGTGTTGTATCTAAGATCTATATGATTATCGTAACAGACATTAAAAGGAGGAACACCGGTTAAATAGTCCCTTTTTGTTGACATCAACATTTGAACAAACTCTTACTTGAGCTGCAGCTTCCTCATAACCAGTAGTGCCATTTATCTGTCCAGCGAAGAAAAGCCGTTGCACCAAATGAGTCTCGAGAGAAGGAGTGATCTGACGGGGGTCTAAGTAATCATACTGAACACCATAGCCTGACCAAAGAATAAATGGTACAAAGTAAGTAAAAACAGAGCTGGATTTGATTATCATTAAATGCTCTTCAAAAATGGACACAGACACTGATGGGGGGGGGGGTAGGGAGATGAAGGAGGGCATGTGCCGGAGGGTAGGGGAGGCAGGGGTGGGGGGGGGGGTCAATGGGGGGAAAAGGAGACATAAAGTATTACTATTTGTAATACTTTAAACAATAAAAGAAAAAATGAAGACTATTTTAAATGTCAAGTTGTTGGGCTTTGTCTTCTGAGGCTCTAAGCAGCCCTGACTGCAGTTACGATCTCCTCACTATCTGCTAAGGCGATGCTGAGCTCCTAGTGAAGGGCGCTGTGATTCTCTTTACCTGGCTGGATCATTTTAGCTTTCTCCAAGCCTCTGATGCATGTGATCATTTTCTCCTGTAATTCAGCTGGTAGCGTCACAGATAACCCTTGGGGGTAGATGAGGTCAGAATCTATTCCTTCAGGTTCCAACCAAACCTGATGTATACGGTTTGGAAAACGCAAAACCTTTGATTCAATGGAAGGACAGTATCTAGAACAGGGCATTGAAATAAAAAAATTTAATGAAACAAATGAAAGAGGCTGGCATCATTTCTTAAAGTAATTGAGCAGTGGCACTTCCTCCTTACCGGGGTCCTTTTGTAGTTTCCTTAATGTGACTATTAAGGTGCAGGTTCTCAAGGATAATCTCATCCACTCTAGGGTTGGTATGAGTCAAGTAACACAGTAGCTGATCTTCTGGCTAAAACACATGAATTAGTTATAGCACTTTTGCCTCTCTACTAGTTTGCTTCTTATTCAAATAGACTGCACACATAATATTGGATGATGTTAAGAAATGATGTTTTGCTGGATGTGATAATGTTATTATGGTTAATTTTTATAACATTTTTATCTGTTAAAGACATATAACTAAGTATTTATAAGTGAAATGATGAGATATTTGAGACTGTTGCTTAAAATCAGCAAGAAGAAAGTGTTAAGGGAAGATAAAACAAGAATGCCAAAAAAAGTTATTTGTGGAAGCTGGGTGATGGACACACAGATTCATTATACTATTTCTTATATTCTCTATAAACTTAAATTTTATAATACAAGTTTTAAAATACACATACCAAGAAAGTATCACAATTTATATTTTCCCAAAGCAAAAATATAAAAATGAGTTTTCAAAAAAACACACAAAAAAACACACAATATTTGAAGCCACTCATTAGGATAACACAAGAAACTAGGACCATCAATTATTAGTCCTCAATTCTAAAAACACAACATACTATTTTTTTTAATATTCAAAAGACAAGGTAAAAGTAACCTGTATTCTTAAAAACTGTCACTATTGTGAAAAACTGAAGAATTATTTCAGATGAAAGAGAAATGATGGCCGTAGCCAGTTTGGCTCAGTGGATAGTGTCAGCCTGCGGACTGAAGGGTCCCAGGTTCAATTCCGGCCAAGAGCACATGCCCAGGTTGTGGGCTTGATCCCCAGTGGTGGGCATACAAGAGGCAGCCAATCAATGATTCTGTCATCATTGATGTTCCTATCTCTCTCTTCCTCTCCCTTCCTCTCTGAAATCATAAAAGAAATATAGGTGGGGTCTGGCCAGCCTGCCCTGATCAGGGCGATCAGGCTGGCCAGCCAGGGAGAGGGGCCACAGGCGGTTGGCTGGCTGGCCCTGCCCTCTGGTCGAACTCCCAGTTGAACTCCTGGCCGAACTCCAGGCTGAGGGGACAATTTGCATGTTATCCTTTTATTATATAGGATAACACTATTGAATCAATGTTAAATTCCCCAAATTTTATCACTGAATTGAAGTTCTATAAGAGAATGTTTTTGTGTTGAGATACAGACTGAAGTATTTAGGGGTGAAGGGTCATGATCTTTGCAATTTGCTCTCAAATGTATCAAACAAAAAAGAAGAGTCAGAATGACACACACACACACTGAGTGGCCAGATTATTATGACCACCTGACGTTTGTAGGCAAATTAGCTGTACACTGCATCGTATGGGATATGGAAGCCAAAGGC